AGAAAAGGGACAGGATGGACGTAACTTGTTCCTCGAACCAGCAGGTGGAGGGGAGTGTGCCGAGAGCACGAGAGTGGGGCCGTCAGCCTTCTGCTCTGCATCCCTCTGTGCTGTCTGAGTGTTTATAAGAACAACACCTGTGTGTTCCTTTTTTAATTACCGAGATCAGCAAAAATATTTCCATTTCAAAAACAAAACACGAAACCAGAACAGCAACAGACCAGCACCATAGGAGTCCACCTAGGTGAGGTCCCTCGAGTGGAAAGTCTAGGAGATGGAAAGCAGAGCAGGGGCTGCCACAGGTGGGGGCAGCGGATGGGGCATCTGTTGGGTACAGAGGTTCAGTTGTGCAAGAAGAGAGTTCCGGAGAGAGATGGTGGTGACGGATTTATAACCCTCGGGCACCACTGCACACTTAAAATGGCTAAGACGGCCAACCTGACGTTGGACGTGTGTCTTAAAAGGCAGCAAAGCCCCATCTCTCAACCGGCCGTCTGGGCAGGGCCGTGCAGGCCAGAAGAGGCCCGGGGGCCTTGGCACCCACGGACAATGACTTCTGCCTCGTGATGTGACGGCTCTGGTGCCCTCCTCGGCCTTCCACATCACAGCACAACCCGTCAACTCTCCCAGGGGGACATGTTCTAACCCGACTTCATTTGGTAGATGAAGTGTTTGTCAGGGACGTGGCAGGCATGACCTCCCAATGGCCTTTGAATTTACAAATTCAAGGATTTCTCAATCGGCCTCTGGGTACTATACATCAGGAATCACAGCGAGATGACCATGGAAGAGGGAAGGGAGAAGGGAAGGGGCCTTCCGAGGAAGGCTGGGGAGGGAGGATGAACTGCTGGTTACCCCAGAATTAAGAGGAGGACTGCGTGCTATTGGCTGGCTCTGGAGCAGTTTCAGGAAGCAAATGGTCCCTGACAGTAAGTGCGTTTGCTTGCACTGAGAGTACGGGAGACCCTTCCTTTGCTTCTTAGAGTCTCCGACTGAGCAGGGGATTGGGTTGAGAACAGTCTCTGGGAAGCTGTTCTTCACGGGTGACCCTAGTTCACCTTCCATCTTCCGCCTCACACCAGTTAAATCCACTGCAGGAGCTGACACCCACGGCTCCATATCATGCCGGGCCCACTTCTCCCCCCATCTTCCCACTCTGTCACACACTCATAACCACATGCTTCATTTATTAGTGACAGATCCCCACGGCAATTGCCTGGGGATCTAGGCACAGAACCCACCCAACCAGTCTCAAATGCCCCTTCAGTTCTTCACCCGGTCCTGCATCTTGGACAGGGTTCCAATACAGTGTCCTTGAACCATAAGCTAAAACCTGTGGGGTGAATGCTCTATGATAGCCTGAAGCCTGGGCATGAGATAGCCCCCTCCACAGGTGGAGAAGCACAGAGAAGGCAATGCCTAGCCCAGAGTCACAGAGCTGCGCAGGGGCAGGGCTGGGATTCAGACCCCAGCTTCCCGACAGTCCCTGGCTCACTCAATCAGAATACCACCAGTCTTCACCAGGTGAGCAGCAATGAGGTAAGGTTCCATCCAATTCTAGTGGAGACTTGAAGAAAAAAGAAGGATGCAAAGCTGGGGGTCCAAATTTGCAGGGACCCCGAGTTCCGTGGGCCTGGCAGGTGCAGTCATGCCAGCTGCCTTCTCTCCATGCCCTTGCTGGAGTTCCAGGAGAAGAGAAGCCCGCACAGTGGACTTCCGCCTGGTCCACGGCGAAGAAGCCAAAGCCAAGCCCTGCTGTTGGAACAAGAAGTTCACAGGATCCAATCTCTTGTCTCAGGTGTCCTAAGAGGTTACTACTCTGAGTAAATCCCAAACGAGAGAACTGTCCTTTCAGGCTGAAGGGTGACTAAGAGAGAAGCCAGCACCCTGGGATGTTGGGCTTCCTGGACAGCGTGAATACTCTGTTAGCTACAGGGACCAGGACATCCCTTTTCTTCCTTTTAATACTCGATTTCTGCAAATTTAGGGGCCCTGTGATTTCTTGGTTTCACAATGAGTCACTCGTTACTTGGGACCTGAGGTAGAGCACATCTCTTTGCAAACTGGGGATGGAGTGGACGGGCCAGGGGTGCACATTCACCTCACACAGCGTCCGCGTCTGGGTTCAAATGTGGAGGAGGTGTGAATTCTGGGTGCTACAATTTAAAAAACACATTAATGCCACACTCAAATCAGGTCATGGCAAAACTGAACCTCATGACACATGCCTGTTTTATGCTGTCTTTTTAAGTAAAGATTTCACTACTAGAATGGGGGTGGCAGAGATGGGGGGTTAGTGCCAGTATCTCTTTAAGAGTCTCCTGAGTCCGTCTGTCACAACCAGATTGTCAACCATCTCTTAGAGATCCAGGGACAACGAAAGGAGCTTGCTAGAGAAGAAATAACACGGAGAAGAAAATAGGCCACATACCCACCTCAACGCAGGAAGGGAGAGAGGAGACGGACATCAGAGGGGCAGGGAGTGCCCAGAATTAGCGGGCCTTCTGGGGGAGACTCTGCTGTTTCTTCTGGCCCTGCACCCATGCCCCTGGCTTCTGAGGAACACACCCCAGATTTTATCAGAGGAGCCACAGTAGGATAGACACCTGTCCCAGGCCTGGCCACCCTGTCCTCTGGTTTGCAACATGAATGAGCGGCACCCGTGGGCCTGACCGCCTTCCAAGTCACAGCAATTAACAGCTGTGGGGGGGTTGTCCAAATTCTAGTCTAAGGAGAGACACTGACCACCTGCACCTTCAAACACAGCGGAACTGAGAGACCACACACGGGACTCAGAAAGCTCCAGAGTGGAAGTGCTGCTGCCCAGGAGGATGGAGCCGTGAACGCCGTGTTTATACACATGAGTCCAGGGGGATGATGGCAGGACCACCGCATTCTGGAATGATTCATGTGTTCAAGAAATTAGGAAGGCAGCAAAACTGTGACGTCACCCAGCTGAGCTCTGGAGTCAGCATCAACTGCCCATTCTAAGCCTGTGGGGAAATTTCTGGCTCATCTGGCACAATGTGGCCAAGTAGCCTCCTGGAAAGCCTCTTTTGGGGGCTGGTGAAACTCTCCCCTGTGCCCTCCACAGGGCAACTGGCTTCGGTGGCAGGGAGCCCTCCCTCCCATCCCCGCAGTCCAAGCGTGCTGAGGTGGCTGGCCATTCCCGTTCGCAGGGACTGGGCCACCCAGCTGACTAACTGATTATGCTTTGGGGGCCAAGCCTGCCCTGTCCATATCACTGTTAGTCAGAGCCGAGGGCTGGCGAGACAGCATCCCTTAAAAGTACTGGAACAAAGGCAGGAGCATCTTTCCAAGACAAAATGGAAAAGAACACAGTGTACAAACTGAGGTGAAGTGTCCGTTTCCCCCCAGTGTGGCTATCCGGTGATGGCTAAACCAAGAGGTGAAACAGACAACTTTCTTCCAAGTTAAAAAAAAAAAAAAAATTACAAGATGACCCAAATAAGCAAATACAGATGGCTTGCTTTGTGTCTGCCCCTCAACCTCCCCACCAAAGTGACATTTGTTGCCAAAGGTTCCCCATACTACACTTTAATCAGAAACCAAAGCAGGCCAGAGGTCCCAGTCTCAGAAAGGGATCTGGGTGGCACCAGGGTGACCTGCCATCATTGCATTCACTGACGACTGCTAAGAAAATCACAGTGGGGCCAGCAGGGTGGGGCCAGCAGGGTGTGTTCTAGTTGCAGGATCGCAGGCAACTGCCAAAGACCCTGAACTCCCAGCCACTGCTTCAGCAAGGGGCTGTGGCACAGCTTCAGCCGCCCTGGACTGGAGGCTGGGGGAGCTGGCTTCGGTGTCAGGAATGTGCCCCCACCCCAGCAGACCACAGCCAGGCGGCCAAGAGGGGGCTGCCTTTCTCCCGGGAGGTTGCGTTCTTCCCTCCAGCGAACAGAGCTCTACCCCACGGCCACCAAGCACAGAGTCCCATCACCCCTCCCCCAGGGCCTGGGCCACAGCCAGAGGCCCCATCTGTGTGGCTGTGAGCCTGGTCCATGACACAAGAAACTGGCCCATTCTGTGTACTTAACCCCAGAGGAAATGCTCTCCAGTTCAAAAGGGTTCAGCATTTAAACAAGAGTGAGAAAAGAAAGCAACCCAACCACCCCGGCCAGGCAAAGGGGGGGACGCATTCTCTGGCCAAGCGCATACCCACCACGCAGCGCACCTCGCTCTAGACAGATGGGGCTGCTAAAAGCTCAGGGGGAGATTTTGTGGACTGAATTTGACTATGGGACTCCAAAAAAATCATAATCTATTAAAAGTATATAATCTCATTAGACCCCTCTCTTTCTTCCACTGTGTACTAGGCACAAACCATTATTCCAAATTATCCGGGAGAAGAACAGTAGCAATGATGATGAAGATGACAATAATGATGGTCATTAGCAGCAGCGAACCCTCTTACAGCATCAGACAGGGACAGAGAACTGTTCTGAACAGATCAGATGTGCTACTTCTTTTTTTTTTTTTTTTTTTTTTTTTGTGGTGCTGGGGATTGAGCCTGGAGCCCTGCCCAAGCTAAAGCAGACACTCGACCACTGAGCTACGTCCCCAGCCCTTTTTAAATTTTTATTTTGAGACAGGGTCTCACTAAATTGCTCAGGCTGGTCTTGAACTTGAGATCCTCCTGCCTCACTCTCCTGAGCTGCTGGGATACAGCCTGTATCGCTGCGTTAGTTCTTTTAATTCTCAGAGTCACACTGCAAAGTAGACACTATTTGTGACCCTCTTTTTACAGAGGGGAGACCTTGCTCCAGGTTTCCCACTCCATGAGGTGGACTTGCGCTGGATCTGCTGTGACACAGCCCACAGCTGGCTCCAAACAGCTGGACTGTCCAGAACGAGGTGCACTGGTGGGCATCAGAGAGGAACAGAGGTGTCCATGGACATACACTAGGGAGCAGAGTAGCAGAGAGCACCCAGCCAGCGGCAGCCGGGGCGGGCGGCGCAGAGTGGTGCGGCTGGGGACTCACCTTCGTTCTCCCCACTCGTCTTCGCGCCTTTGGAACCACCCTCTGTACCTTTAGCCTTCTCGGCGTCTTCCTGGGCGTCCTCGGCAGCCCCCTTCTCCTCGTCCTCCTCCTCCCCAACGTTTTTGTAGTTGGGTCTCTTTTGCACCCGCCTCTTGCCCTTGTGCTTGTTCATCTCAAGGGACCGCTCCAGGGACTCAGTGGGTTTAATGAAGCACCGAATGCTGGGCTTGGCCTAGGAGTCCAAGAAAGGAACCCATTAATTGGAACACTGGGATCTTGATGGATGTTTGCAAGCTGCTCCACAGTTTCTGCCTCCTAAACAACAAATGCTACTTCCTGGTCTAGAATTATGACTAATATCGTTACCATCATCAAAAAATCAAAAATAGCACCAGTTGCCATTTACTGCTCACTATCCCCATCAGAACTGCTGTGTTTCGCCAGACCAGCTCACACTTCCAGGTGTCTGCCGTACACAAGCTGCTCTACGGCTCTGATTGTGTTGCCTCATTTAAACTGTATGACACCCCTTAAGAGAGTGCAGTTGTCCTCATTTTAGAGATAAGGAAGGCAAAGGTCAGAGACACTAAGTGATCTACCCAAGGTTACAGAGCCTGGCGGCAGCTGAGCTAAGATCTAAACACATACCATCTGCACCACCTGCGTCTTTGCTACATACAGCACGATGACATTGCCATGTTTAAGTAAATCTTTGTTTTATATAAACGTGTGTGTGTGTGCGCGCGCGCTGTAGATGGACACAACATCCTTATTTTACTTATTTATTTATCTATTATTTTTTACGTGGTGCTGAGGATTGAACCTAGTGTGTCACTCAGGCTAGGCAAGCACTCTACTGCTGAGCCCCAAACCCAGCCCGGTAAGTCTGTTTTAGAAGAAACTGTCTCTCACTACAGGAAATGGTACATCAACCTGCCTCACTGTTGTGAAAATAAACAACAAAAAGACAAGGCGAGGCTCCCTGGAGGCAGCCACGTGCGGGCTCTCCCTAGCATCAGTGACACAAAGGTGTCCTCTCCACAGAAGACGCTTCTTCCGAGAGGACACAGGGCCCTCTCAGAAAATGAGGAAGGCCCCTGTCACCTATAATCCATACCCCATTCTCCTGTATCGCGATCTTCCTAACCACCACGATACACAGTCCAGTTCAAAGCTGAGAAAATAGAGGCCTGAGAGGCTCAGCAACCTGCCGGATGTCAGCCACCACTCAACTGCAGAGCCTGATTCTGAACCCAGGCTGCTCGACTCCAAAGCCCAAGCCTTGCCTAAAATAGCACCGTGTCGTCAGAAACTCAAACCCAGGTCTCAGCTTAGTATTCTTTTAAAAATATATGCATATAGATGGGCACTGCGGCACCTGTAGTCCCAGGCTCAGAGACTGAGGCAGGAGGATGGCTTGGGCCCAAGAGTTTAAGGCCAGCCATGGATGACATAGCAAGACCTTAAAAAAAAAAAAAAAAGGAAAAAGATATACATGCAAATCAACCATGTCTAGAAAGGAGTTAAGACGAAAGGAAACTGATTTTTAGTGCAGGGTTTTGATTGAAATGTTTCTCCCTTTCTAAACTCTGGATAAGCTTCAGACACCATTTTGTCATTAAGGAAAAAAAAAAAAAAAAAGATTTAGAATACACTTTTCCATTACCTTGATGTGGATCATCCATCTTACGAACGTACCCCAAAGAGAAACCATTTGTATTCCAGGGCCACTATACCTTGCCAACAAGTGGTATGTGCTCAAGGCACACAGATTAATTTCAATAATACTCAAAACAAAACCCAATTGAGAGCTAAATTAGCATCCAAATCCAAACATTCATTTTTATTTACCCACTTTGTATTAGTCAACCACAAAAATGACAAATCAATTGAGACATGGTTCTTCTGTCCAGGAAACCCAGATAGCATATCACAGATGCCAACAACCAAGAGGCCAGAGACGACAGCACTCAGAGCGTGCACTCCTTGACAGACGGCATCCGTCAGAGCCCGCTGAGGATGCTGTGGGATCGAATGCAGCCCTGGGTGCCCCTCACCCTCTCCTGACCCACCGGTGAGGCCCCAGGACTAAGACTAGATTCCTCCCGTCACCACCTACTCCCCGAGAATTTTAGAGCATGCCATGCAATGGTCAGAGCTTGCAGACACAGAAAACCAAGGCCAAGTGCACAGCAACCCCCTGCCCCCAGTAAGAGGAACAGAAATTCACACGGATGGATGAAGAAGCCCTTCCAGAGCCCTGTGTAGACAGGACTGTACAGAACAACTGGAGGAACAGAGGGAAGTGAAGCAGGGCTTGGGGCCATCAGAGTGGCCCGAACCCCAGACCAGCTGCCCAGTCACGATCTTTGTCTGAAATAGGTAGCAAATCATTCTGACCTTCTAGAACTAAATGAAAACGTGGATATAAAGTCTTCAGGGTTGGGGATGTGGCTCAGTGGTAGAGCATTTGCCTTGCATATATGAGGCCCTGTTTTCAATCCCCAGCACTGGAAAATAAAAAAGGAAAATCCCCGAGAGAGTGGTGAAACAGTAATAATCCCAAGTGACAGTTACCACCTTCTTTTCTCTGCCTTTATCAAAAAGAAAAAAATTGACTGTAAAAATGAATTTCAGAACTTTCCAAAAGGATCAGTTTTTCTTGACGATCAGGTGTTTGGGTGGAGGGGAAGACATGCTTTCTGGGGAAATTTCAGATCTTTAAAAATGCAACCACCCGGTAAACAGCTGGAAATAACTAAAGGTCCATCGACTGGGGCGTGGTAAGGAAATTATGGTCCATCCATCCATAGGTAAGAGATCCATGTGGATGTTAAGAAGTCGGAGGGTTTCTGTTCCTGGGTGGACTGATGCGGAAACGGTGCCAGGGTGAACAGGCAAGAACAGGCATGTGGTGAGGTCCCTTCAGGAGAGCTTTTCAAAGACTACGCACAGTGACGTAAGCACAGCTGTCCCTACAAAGAGGCGTAAGAATGTGACATTTCACCTCTGGGGAGAGAGAAGTCAGGCACTGGGTGCACACACCACACAAGCACTCTGTCTTTTCATTTGGTTTGAAATTTCTGATCATGTACACACAGTCTCTTTTCTTTTTTAATTTGACAATGGTTAGCTGGACATTGGGTTCTGTGCAATTTTTGTTTCCTTTTCATTCTTCTGTATTTAAGAAGCTGGCATTTCCCCCTTAATAAACATACAGTCATCGTAGAGAAGCTAGTGCCACTTGGCTGGGAACGGAGGCAGAGATCTGTGACCGTTCCTGCTCAGAGGAAACACAGGGACCCTGAGCTCAGTGGGCAGCTTCTGGAGTTGGGGCCAGCTAAAAGTCACGAATGGAATTTCGATGGTGGCCCAAGGGCCTAACTGCTCCCTGCCGGGCCTGCACCTGCCTACTGGTTGCGGCGGCCCTCCCCAGCCTCCCGTCCCTCCAGCCCAGGCTCTGGTCCTGGCTTTTTAAGGACAAACACTCTGGGAAAGGTAACTCCTCAGGCCGTGCCCAAGGCCTCTCAAGGAATGTGGGATGGATGGGGATCAGGGAGCACCCTCTACAGCGGCAGGGACAAGGGTCAGGAGGGACAAGCAAGGCCTGGGAGCCAGGGTGGAGGAGGTGAAGCAAAAAACGCCACTGGTGAGAGAGAAGTCCCACGAGTGCTCCCTGCGAGGCCTGGCCTGTGTGCGCAGCTGAGAGACCGGAACAGGCTGCACGCGCACAGCAAGTCAGCTCTGTGGCAGTCAGCAATGCCCTTTATGGAAGAACCCCGTGGGGTCAGCAAGGAGCTCAGTGGCAGAGCGCCTGCCTCGCACGTGGAGGCCCTGGCTGCATCCCCAGCCCTGCTGAAAAAGAGAAACTATGTTCCATGGTTGGTGAAACACGGACACCGATGTGCATCGCGTGTTCCATGGTTGGTAGATCTTTTCAAGAAAATGCACAGAGAAAGGTCTGGAAGGACAGACTGAAGACAGCGGCTCTCTCTGAGGAAGACACGGAGGTGGGGACTTTCACTTTCCACCCTACCTGCTTCAATGTCACGCAGTTGTTCTGCCCTGAGAAAGGACTACCAGTGCCACCGAAAAGTAAACACACCTTTAAAAACCGTGTCCAATGCCACTGAACTCTGCACTTAAAAATGGTTAGGATGGCAAATTCAATGTCATATTTATCAACACAGTTCTTAAAAACCCAAAAGTTTTAAAAAGCACCTTTAGAAGTCAGAACAGTAATTACCGTGGTGAGGAGGGGCGTTAGGGACCGAGGAGGAGCTGTATGGGGTGCAAATTACACACCAGTGTAATCATGAGTACAAGATCATCAAGCCGTACACTACATTTTACACACAGGTATGACCAAATGAGTAACAAAGCATCAAGCAGTGCACTAAGCTTACTAGACTTTTATGCAGTTTACTATGTGTCTGTTAGCCCTCAATTTAAAAAAAAAAGGCTCAGCTAGAGGACTGTGAATAGATTGGAACAATGCCCTAACACAAGCTGGGAGCGAGCTGAACCTCGGGAGGAGCCTGCTCTGCTGGGCACCAGAGGCTCACCCATCTGTCGCTGAGCACTGGCTGAGCACAGGGGCTGGGGAAGCGCAGGAAGCCACCCCACCCCCTGCGGACTCAGGCGGCGGCGGGGCAGGTAAGCTCTGCCGTACACACTGCAGCACAGCCCCGCAGCTGCCGGGAAGGAGGCTGGCGCAGGAACGGCAAGCTCTGCAAGGAGCCGGTGTGTGCTGCGGCTGGGCCGCAGGGTGTGCAGGGCCACTCTGCAGACGGACCGCAGCAGGTCTGAGTCTTGAATGTCAACGGGAGTTCACCAGCACCTCAGCAGGTAGAGAACAGGAGGGGCCAGCTTGGAACCTGTCTGTCAGGTGCGCCTGGAAGAGGCGCTCCCACTCGATGTCTCCTATGGCCTGGGCCACCTGGAGCTGGTGCTCTTGGTGACAGTGATGGTGTCCTTGGACACAGCAGATGCACAGCTGTGTGGACTTCCTGGGAGTCTGGTGGTAGTGCAGGACCAGCGAGGCAGTCTCAGCGGCAGCTGCTGAAATGCACTGACTGCAGAGGGGTTCAAGACATGCATGGCTCAGAAGAGGGTCCAGGTGACCCCGCCTGAGCGCCCCATAGGCGCAACCCTTTGAACAGGTTTCTGAGCGCCTACTCAGGGGGTATGGTGGGGACAGAGGAAGCAGTGACAGGCAATGGCCAGGCGCAG